GGCACGCATCTTCGGACCTGGCCTTCGGCAAGCTATGGTGATGCGAGCTGGGCCGACGGCCAAGGCGCTCTGGGGCTCGGCCATAGCTGGAGTCCCACCTGGGCGCATGAGGGCGCTGAGGGTGGCAGCTGCGAAGTGCGCTGGTCGCTTGCCGCCTGGAGCGGCCCTCAGTTTCGCCCTGCAGTGCGCGCCCCGCGGCTGGCGGCAGGACCCGCTGGTGGTTTCAGTGGGCATGGCAGTTCAGGCTTTCGTCAACGTGGTGCGGTCTGGCCAAGCCACAGCCTCAGCCATCCAAGCGTGCGTCCAAGAGAGCCAGCAGGTGCTCAGCAAGCAACGGCCTTGGAGTTCGGTCCGTCAGCCGATCGCGGCGCTCACGCTCACCCTGCAGAGGATAGGCTGGCGGCTCTCCTTAGACGGCACCAAGCTGCTGGACGAGGACAAGGGGGAGTTCGAGGTGCTGCATTTCTCGCCCGCGTTCCTGGCGGAGAAGGCCAGGGAGGCCACGAGGAAAGCGGCTGCGCTGGAGGAGGCTCGAGCTCGACCTGGATCGCTTTGGCCATGGAAGTTGCAGCCTCAGTGGAGACCAGTCAACGAGCTGCTCGGCAAGAAGGAGACGGAGACCTGGAATGGGCACCACAAGGGCTGCCTGCGCTGGCTGGTCTCGCTCTCGCACTGGCCTCAGGACCGTCTGGCGAGGCACTCCTCCGACATCGACCCGATCTGCAAGCTCTGCCAGGCTGCACGTGGCACGATGTTCCACAGGCACCACGTCTGCCCAGCTTGGGAACCTTGGCGGCGTGACAGGCTGCCGTCGGACCTGAAGAGTGCTGCTTGGGTGGTCCACGAGATGGGCCCGCCTTTCGACGAGCTGTTCTGCCAATGCCTGTTCGTGGACCCCTCCCTGCTGCTGCATCGCCCGCGCTGGCAGCCCCAATGGGAGCGGCTCTCTCATGGTTGGCAGGAAGCTGTTGTGGTCGAAGACGGCGCCATGGTATTCACCGACGGCTCCTGCTTCCTCGGTGACTTTCCGCGCCTGCGCAGCGCGGGCTGGTCGGTCGTCGCGCTATCCAAGGAAGGTGCCATCTTAGCCGAAGCGTGGGGGGCGGTCCCTCCCAGGTTATGCCCATCGCAGACGGCACGTGCGGGTGAAGACTACGCAGCGGTGGTGGCGCTCACAGGGGTCATCGGCAGCTACCAGCTGCTGATCGACTGCCAGGGCACAGTTGACTCGGCGCTCAACCTCGGCAGAGCTCAGGGCCCAACTTCGCCCTACGCCCACCTGTAGGCCAGAGTCGGGGATGCCGCCGAAGGTGTGGAGATCAAACGCATTCCTGCACATCGGTCAGAATCGGCAGTGGCCAGATGAGAGCTGTCGGCTATCGAGCTGTTCGGCAACCGCCTAGCTGACCAGCGAGCGAAGGAAGGGGCCGCCCTCCACGCCCCCTCAGTCGACGACATCCAGCTCCTGGAGGGCTGCCTGGCCAGGGCACGTGATGCAGCTCGCTTTGCCGCGGAGATTGAGGTCTGCATCTCGGATTCTGGTATGCGAGACTGCTGGCCTACGGAAGCACTGGATGAAGTCAACCTCCAGCCGTACCTCTACCCGTGGAACCTGACGTGCGAGGATGAGGGCTACGGCCTGCTGGATATCTCCACAGCGCAGCGTGGAAGAAGCTCGGCAGCTGTGACAGCGGCAGCCTTCACCGCGGCGGCGGCGGCCAGTGCAGCAGCCACTGGTGGAGTTGCAGGCGCCGCGGGCGGCGCAGTGGGGCCTGTCCGCAAGCGCCCTGCAGCCGCGCAGAGGGCCTGCTCCGCCCCTGCCACCGCCATCGCTGCGGGGGTAGGCGAGGCTGGCGCTGCACGTGCAGAGGCTGCGAGCGAGGTGTTTGCGAGAGAGGTTCGGCGCAGAGCGGAGGCCAAGTCGTCCGCAGTGCCCTCACTGAGCTTCCAGTTGGAGGAGGAACGCCCGCCCCCTGCTCCCGCGGCTGGAACCGAGCCATGGGTAGTGCACGGCCACAACCTGATGCAGACCAATGTGGTGAGCAAGCCGCACGAGGCCATCCTGGTGTGCACGCGCTGCTTCATGTACTGCCACCAGCCGAGGTACGCGCACAGGGGCTTGGCCAAGCCGCGTGGTGGTGGAGATCACAGATCAAGCCAGGGGTCGCGAGCTCAGGCCAGGACGGACTTCGGCAAGCTGCGCTTGCCAGGCACGGAGAAGCCGCCGATCGCGATGCTCAGGAAGCCGACCTGGGAGGAGATGCAGCGCTGGCGGAGGTCGCTCAAGATGGACGACTTCGGCGGGCCCATCCCCCAGGAGGACGAGCTCCTGGCGGCGGAGCGCGAGGTCGGCCCTGGCGTCCCGCCAAGGCCTGCGGCAGCACGGCATGCAGCGGGCAGCGCAGCTGGCGCGGCTGGGCCTGGGGGCGGTGCAGCTGCGGAGTTGGCGGGCGCCTCGGCTTCCTCGGCCGCGGAGGCCGTGCAGGCAGCGGCGCGCGAGGGCGTGCAGGAGCTCTTCGTGCCCACCCTGGAGGGCGTCCTCCGCGCGCACGGCTTCGCGTCGGCGGAGGGCGCTCGCGCCCGAGGGCGCGAGGCAGCCCAGGCGCGCGGAGAGCGGGACCGCACGCTGGAGCACGGCGCCGCGGCCCCGCGCGCGGCGAGGAGGCGGGGCCAGCGGTGGTGAGCGCCCCCTCCTCGGCCGCCGAGGGCCCTGCCGCCGCCCCGCGCCGCTCGCGCGGGCCAGCGGCTGCGCCCGTGAATTCGTGGCATGACCACGCGGGTGCTCGCGCCCGCTCGAAGAGTTAAAAAAAATGCCCCCACCGTGTTTCGCATGCAGTGCCACCCCTGCCCAGAACATCAGAGAGGCTCAGTTCGTCGAGTGCACATACTTGGGGAGTGCCAGGAGGGGCCTCGCCCTCGAGGGATCAGCCAGCAGCTCCCGCGACGCTCCAAGCTTCCCCATCTGTCTCTGCCCGATGGCTTATGATGTTTCAACGACTTTCTAGCCTTGATCACCAGCAAGAACTCCGAGCATCAAGAAAGTACCGAAACTGAAGGGTATTCACGTGTCGTGCCTTTGGAGGCGATACTTGTTCGACATTGTTTCGACGCTTTTTCCTGGGTGCTCGAAAGTATCTCTGTGATGTTGTCCATAAGTACAATGGGAGCAACATAACCGAGGGTGTCATCCCAGACATTCTACGTCTTGATTTTTTCAAAACAGCGTCCCCGGAAGTCCAGACCCTTTCCCCGGGGCCGGCTTTTCATCTTGGGTCGTGGTTGACGGTCCTGAGGCCCGGCGAGGGCCCCCCGAGTCCGAAATTGGCCAAATACCTCCCGCCCTGTTTTGTTGTTTACGACACGATCATGTCTGAGTTCTTGGCCCGCGGTGGTCCCATCACCGTTCTGCTCTACCGCTTCGCGTGCGTGCTTGCCGGTCGCTGGCAGCAGTCTCATCGCATCTCAGATCGTCGGTGGTTCAAAGATGGGGTCCTGAGGGATGTTGGTCTTGAGGACGAGGTGCCCCAAGCAGCGCAAATCCACCCTTGGATCTCTTCCCATCCTTGGGCCCCCATCCCTCAGGACCCCACCTCTGAACCACCGAGATCGGCAGCTGGGGCCTTCCCTCGCCGCCCTCTCCCTGGCCCCACTCGGCCTGCAGCGTGTGCGCCGTCCTTCCCCGCCCGCGCCCTCTCTCCCAGCGTCCCCCGCTGCCATCCCACAGCCGCTCCCCGTTGGTTTTCACAGGTGGGGTCCTGCGGGGTGGGGACCTCAGGACCTGCAGGGATCCAAGGCTGAACCTCCGCTGCTGGAGGCACCTCGTCCTGAGGACCCCCTCTTGGAATCACCGAGCTCCCGTGCTCTGACCCCGCCTCCCCGACGGTTCCTGCAGAGCCCGACGGCCACGCTTCCGCCCCCTCTGAGAGTCGAGGGGCCTGCAGCTGCCGGCCCCCTGCTGCGAAGGCCCTCTGCCCTTACGTCGGGCCTGTCCCTCGACAGGAGGAGCATTCAAACATAGTCAAAGAACAGTCGGGGGACGATGTTTGGACTATTCTTTGACATTGCTTGGATAGTTGTTGCATCTTTTCTTTTCTCTTTTTTGTGATTTTCCTCGGGGATCCGCCTGTAGGAGGACATGCCCGACCTAAGCCAAGGCCCTTTGCCCTTGCAGGTCGACCCACGGACCTCTCCAGGGGCGCGGGCTTGACCAGAATCTCGAGGCGGATCCCAGCAGCGGCCCCGAGGCCCTCCATCCCCCAGAGGCAAAGGACACAACAATGCCCAGAAACCTCGAGCCTCGAGCCTCGAGCCTCGAGCCTCGATCAGCAGGGAGAGCTCCCTGCAGTCTTGAGCTCGACAAAGGCTCCGAAACAGTTTGTTTGGGCAGAGCGTCTCGCGCGAAGAGCGATGCCGCCCCCCCTTCCTGCCGTTGCCCCTCGCCGCTGGCCAGCCTCCTCGGAGGCAGGGCCGCCGCTGCGGTGTTGGCCCCCCTCCCCCCAGGGCCCATTCCGCCTCTGGCAGCTCGATCTCGATCCCGATCCCGACTCCGATTCCGCTGCGGCCTCGGATCCCGACCCGGGCCTCGGTTTTTCTCAACGGGGCCTCCTGCTCGTGCACGGGGGTGCCGTGCTGCCTGGGCCTCCCAGACGGGGGGGGTGGCGCAGATTGGGTGGGAGGATCGCACCGCATCGCCGATGCACCCCGGCGGTCTGGCTCGATGCGGAGCCCGAGTCCCTCCACGCCGACGTCGCCGATGCATCGGCGATGCTGCGCGATCCTCCGGCCCCACCCGGGAGGCATTATACTTCTGTCGGAGGTTGATGGACCTCCTGCTCCGACACGTACATGCGCGAATTGGCCGTTTTCGGTTCGCGAGAGGGCGTCGCGGCCGTCATTTCTGCGGGTCCAGGTCCGTCGGTTTCGGTCTTGGGCCGCTTCCACCAAAAAGGGTGGTCTGCGAAAGGGAGGCTTGTCCACCGCCGATCCTGTGCCCCCTACAGGCGGTGGCGCTGCTGGCAGGCTGTGCGCAGGCGTCTGTCAGGCGCGGCTGCGTGCCGGCGGGGCCAGGGCCGGGAGGGAGAGAGGGAGAGGGAAAGAGAGAGAGGGAGAGAGAGGGAAACAAACAAATCGCAAAGAAACAAAAAAGAGAGAGAGAGAGAGGGGGCGCAGAGGAGAGAAACACATGGGGCACTCCAGAAAGGGCCTCGCCTTCGAGGGATCGACTGGTGGCCTTCTTTTCCTCGGCGGAAGCCGGCAAACGGCCTGCGGAAGGCGGCGGAAGTAAACATCGAAAAACAGAAATCGGCATAAACATAAATGTTTGGCGCTCCGCGCGGGTCTCTTGACCTCCCTCTCTGGCGCGCGGAGCGCGCCAGGGGCGGCGCCGGAGGCGCCCCCTGGGGGGCCCAGCGCGGATCCAAGAAATCCGCGCGGAGCGCCAAAAAGTGTATGTTTATATTTTTGTTTATAAAAAAATATGGTGGCCCCGCCAGCGCAGGCTGGCGGAAGCTGGCAGAAAAGCGGACGCTCGCCCCTTCCGAGAGGTGCCGAGTGTTTTTTGTTTGGAGCCAGGGCTTCCAGAGCGGCTCATGTAGGCGCTGGCTGAAACATGGACAGATTTCCACGATAGTGATCGTTTTCTTATTCACTGTTTTGCCGATCGGTGCGGGCCCTCGCACCCCCTCCCCCCTCCCCTTCCCTTGGAGTAGGCCCTGGCTGTTTCTGGCGCCTGTTTCGAGCAGGTGTGGTTTCCCCCCATAGGACGCACTGGTGCAAGCAGTGGAACTAAGCAGAGGTCCGGAGCCATAACCCCATCTCCCCCCTTGCGCCCAATGTCGAAACGTCGAATAAGAAAACGCTCACATATTGAAGATGACGAGGTCGGTGTTTTGGGGAAGTGTGCAGTCGGCCAGGCCAGGGGCTGTGGAGGACCCCGAACCCTCGCCTTCCCCGCTGCCTTCTCTCCGGACACCGACGTTTTCCCCGCGCGCACATGGAGGGACGCACGTGGAAGGGATGCAGGGGCTCAGAGGCGAGATGCCTCGTTCACGCGGAGAGCGGAGAGACAAGACGCGGATCGGAGGTTGGGGGGTTGGTGGCCAGGGGTTGCCTTCGAAACCAGCTCGGAGGACAATTTTTGCTTGTTTCAGACGTGCATTGCCATCTGCCAGGGAAATTATTTCAATCGTTTCGCTCATTCCGCCGGCCCGTATTCTGCTATCGCAGGCATTTGTTTGCGCGTTCGTGGCCTCTTCGGGCCTCTTGGGGGCCGTTTTGGGGCCTCTTGGGGCCTCTTCTTGAGCCTCTTGGGGGCCTCGTGCCGCCTCCAGGGGACCTCCTGGGCTCTTTTGGGGGCCTCTTGGGGCTTCCTGTGGGCCTCTTTGGGTGGAAGGCTCGAATTAGTTGTTCGTGTTCCCCCTCTTGGGCCCCTCTTGGGGCCGATGTTGGAGCCCTGTTGGGTGATCTTGGTCGCCTCTGGGGCCGTTTTGGGGCCTTCTTGGACCGTCTTGGGGCCCTCTTGGGGGCCTCTCGGGCCGTCGTGGAACGGTATTGGGGGGCCTCTGGGGCCATCTTGGAGCGTCGGAAGCCCGAAAACGCGAAAACGCGAAAAACATAGACACACACACACAAATAACATAACATAGTGTTGTTTCTTTTGGCCCTCTTCGGGGTCCTCCTGGAGCGCTCTTGCCGCCCTGGGACGATCTTGGGGGCCTCTTGGGTCGTCTCGGACGGTCTTCAGACGACGTGCATTCGAAAAACGTATGGAAACAACCTGAGGTGTTTCAGTGATTTGGGCCTTTTGGACCTACCTCAGGGTCTCCACGACAGCCAAAAAGGTCCCCAAGGGGTCTCCAGGACGGGCCCTAGGACCATCCATGCTAGGCCATGTTGGCAGTGTGGATTCAGAACCACGCTCCCGAGGTTTCTGGAAAGGCACGTGATGCGACCCAACAGCGTCTGTCAGCTGAGAGCCTGCGGCCCTTAAGGAACACTGGCACGATTCAAAACAGGTAGTGCAGTACCTCCCAACACTCCGATCAGGCCTCGCGGCACAGTTGCGAGGGTGACAGAGAGCGAAGGGCATCCGTCGCAAGAGAGAGAGTTCGAGAGACAAATTTCGAGAATCTGGGGGGTCGACGGAGCGGAGACAGATTCAGGAGGGAAAAAACACACAGACACAAGTAATCGTCTATCCCCAAGAAAATGTGGGAAAACATGAGAATTGGGCGGGAAGACAAAGAAACACGAAAATATAAGAAAATATGGGGAATATGTTTATTTGTGTGTATTTATTTATGTGTTTTTGGGTTCCTTGACAGATCGAGAGAGAGAGAGAGAGAGAGAAGATGGGGGGCGGGGGGGGGTCCTGGCTTGGGAAGGCGTCGCGACCGGGCGCGCCCCGTGCACCCGTGAACACGCGCCCGCCAGGGGCAGAAGGGGGGGGAGCAGGCTCTGGCTGGACACGCCTCGACCCCGCCTCGCCCACTTGACTCCGACGGGGGGCGCGATGGGCCCCTCCTGCTCCTCCTCCTGCTCCTCCTCCTCCTCCTCCTCCTCCTCCTCCTCCTCCTCCTCCTCCTCCTCCTCCTCCCTCTCCTCCTCTTGACACGCGGCCCTCCCTACGCTCGTCTCCCTCTCCTCCTCCTCCCTCTCCCTCTCCATCTCCCGTGCGGATTCGCTGGTGGGGGCCTGCTGCTGGTCTGCCGGGCCCCGAGCCCGTCCCCCCCCCCCAATCGTTGCCCCACTGGAGGGCAGCGGCCCCCTCCGAAGGGCTCGGAGGCTTCGGATAAGCCTCTCCCCCTGGATGCCCCCGACCCAGCCGGCGCGGACCCCTGGAGGTTCGGGACCTCTTTCCCCCTCGACGGGCTTTTCGCCCTGAGCCATTCTCGGCCCGTCCCGGAGGAGGAGGGGGCGGCGGCGGAGGCGGAGGAGGAGGAGGAGGGTGACGAGGACGACGACGAGGACGAGGACGAGGACGAGCCCGTCCCCCCCGATCGCTTCCCCGCCGCCCAGGCCCGGCACCGTGTGCCACAACACCGTCGCCGCCGCGCACGAGCGCAGCCACCGGTGGTGCGACGCGGTGCGTCTGCTGGGCGAGATGCGCCACCAGGCCGCCCGGGCGCCGCCTCGCCCGCGGGGCTGCGCGTCCCTCCCCGTCGCCTCGCTGCGCCACAGGCCGGCCGAGCTCCAGCGGAAGCCTCGGGGGGCAGGGGCCACCTCGGGGCTCGCCTCGACGTCTCCGAGGCGACTCGGCTGCGATGCCTTCCGATGCCGATTCGGTTCGGCCTCGGATTCCGATCTGGATGCCGACCGTTCCAGGAGGCCTTAGTACTCTGCCGATTTCCGCCGATTCGGCTCCTCCCGACTGGTCTGTCGATTGCCGACTTGACGTCGACGACGACGTCGCCGACGCCGATTCGGCTCCTCCCGACTTGTCTGTCCTCCGGATAAATTTCGATCGCTGATGCAACTTCATCGGTTAGATTCTGGGCACTCTCCTGCCACTTCGGATGCGAAGGGGACCAGCTCGATGTCGGTTTATGGGAGCCTTGGGCGGCGACAGTGAAATCAGTTTTTCTGCATGTGGACCGCCTTTGGCCCGCCCTCCTGCTCCTCCTCGCCCTTCCTGTTCCTTCCCCCTCCCCCTCGTTCTCCTCGTCTCCCATGTGAAGGAGCGAATCCGGTCCCAAATCTGGTCCAGATCAGGCCCAAATCGGACAGCGCCGGGGGCCACGGAGGTTCCCATGGAACGGACACCAAAGATAAATGTCACTTCGGTTGCGAAGGGGGCTCGTGCATTTTGGGTCCACTTCTCTTCGAAGGGGGCCATCACGTCTTGGGCGAAGAAAGTGTCCGTATCCGCGGCCTCGCGGGCCAGGCGCCTGGGCCGCGATGCCGCGGATGCGGGGCGTATTTTTTTGCTTTAGCGGATGCCCCGCGCGGAACGTATCCGTGCGACCGCGTATCCGAGGGATCGCGCTTCGGAATCCAGACCGTGAGAGCGCAGATGCGGATCTGTTCTCCGCTCATGATTGCGGGTCCTTCCATGGGCCTTCCCCTGGCACGCGCCGTGTACCTGGGCGCAGCTTGGTGCCAAAATGTGGTTCGGTTCCCTCTCCGAGGTTCCCTGTGGCACAGCCGTGACTGTGGTTGGCCATGAGCTTCCCCGGCCGTCGCGGAAACATCTGGGGGATGTTTTTCTTTTGTACCCATTTGGGTTGCATTTGGGGGTCGGCGATGTTGGGGATTCCCAAGTTCCTTTGCGTCTGTTGCAGCCACCTTGTTGCATGTTTGAGGCCTCCTCGGGGTCATCCCCTCCGGCGACCTCATGTTACGATGGGTCGTGGCCTTCGGTGCGAGAATTATTGTGCCGCTGGGAGCGAGGGCCCAGGCTTCATCACGAATACTCGTTGCCATGCGAGCGAAGACAGCATTTTCGACGGATCGTCGCATTTGGGGCGTGGACCGACTGTAGGTTGTAAGAGGTCGTTGCGCACCTAATTTCTTACATGAATGGTGCAAGGACCCTAGAATTGTCCTTGCGCTGACTTTGGCGTTGCCAGTGTAATCTCGATGTGTCAAACGCGTCCCTTTCGCAGCCCTGGAGTGCTCCATGGGTATTTGCAGCTGCTGTAGACTGTAGAAGAGAGTCGGGTAGAGTACCGCAGAGTCGAGAAAATAGGGCAGGTCGATTATGGCCGTGTAGTCTTCACTTCGTTATTGAAAGTGGTCATACCACCCACCCACCCCATCCATGCAGTTTCTCTTATTCACAACCCCTTTGCAATACAGATTCCGTTTTCCATGTGAATATATATATATATATATATATATACTCATGCATTCAAGGGGTTGCGAACCAAGTGATCAATGGACACATGTTCAGCATCTCAGATCTTAGTGGGCCCTGGAAACGACAGCCGTCTTTTACTGGTTTCGTTTTGCCCGCTTCCGTCGTTGTTGTTTTCCGGTTCGGGCGTCGGTTCCAATCCCGGAGCCGTTTTGTTGTTGTTTCCGGTCGTTTTTGTTTACCGCTTCCATTTTGAAACGTTTTTTTCGAAGACCGTGACAAAATGGCCCTGCCGTTTCCGGGGATTACTAAGTCTCATATTGCCCCCACAGCGGTCGACCTTCATGTCGCCGTTGACGGGCTAATCCAGTAGCTCGACATCGGTCATATCCGAGCCCGCAACATGGTATGAACCGTGTTATGTATAAGTATGTCTGGTGTGATGTGTTTCCATCCATCCTGTGGTGTTGGGCCCTCGCATTGAATTAGTTATTCCGCCTCCCTTCCCATGATTCTGCTCGCCTCATAGGCATCTTCATTGCCGCACACCCCTCATGTGTCGAAGTTGCTTCGGGAGCTCCGCCCGCAGTCTTGCGTGAGCGCAGACGCACGGCATCCTCACGTCCACTTCCGCGCACCCCTCGCCCGCTTTGTGTCACTCTAGGGATATCTCCTATAAGGTCCCGGCGGGCGCAGACGTACGGCGCCCCCGCGCCAATTGTGGCACGCCGCTCACGAGGATCGCCGCCGCATAGGGAGCGCCACCAACAGTCTGATTGGGCGGAGAGTCATGGCGTCCTCTCGCCCGTGTCGCCACACACGCACACACACGTCCAAGGACCTTGGCCGCATAAGGAGCTCTCCTACGGTCTCACTGGCTTTGGCGAGTGGCGTCCCCGCGCAAATGTCGGCACATCCATCACGAGCATCGTGCTCCCATGCGGGGTTCCAACTTAAGTTTCGGTGATCGTTTTCGCATGGCGTCCCTGCGCAAATTTCGGTTTGTCCATCATGCGGATCCATTTGCGGCATCAGCGGGCGCAGACGCATGGCGCCCCCTCTTGTTTGTTCGCGCAGATCGCGGTCCTTTCCGGAGTTATGTTTACTGCCTGGATGGGCGCAGCTGACTGATCCACCACGGGTGCGCATCCTATTGACGATTGCCACATCGTCGCCGCTCTTGGTGCCGCCACTGCCTCGCCATCGCCGCCATCACCATCAACAGTTTGCCAACCACCATATCAATCCTTATATTATTCGAAAGCTAAGCTCCCTCACCACCACCATCGTCATCACCGCCATCACTACCATCAGTACGTCATCGCCAACACAAACGCCATTACCTCATCAGAGCAGTTCGGGCCCTCGACGGGAGTTCCCTCGACGGCCCACCCCGGTTGTTCAACGGCCAGCAACTGCCCACCCGAAAAGGAGCCTCGCCGCAGCGCCATGTCGTCGGTCATCACCGTCAGCATTCCGTCATCATCACAGCCATCGTTATCATCACCGTCATGACCGTCATCTTTACCGACATCACCGTCATATGTTCCATCACCACCGTGATTGCCAGAATGGCATTTTCATTTGTACCCACGTTATCATGATCATCGTCATCGCCAAAATCATCGCCAGCATCATCATAGCAACGTTGGCTTTCGAGGGAGCAGCCACTGATCAGGCCAGACAATGCCAGATTCCGCGGGCGGCCCACCTCACAAGAAGCCTCGCGGCGGCAGCTCTCGCGTCGGCTGCGCCAGCAGCAAACTGGAGGCAAAAACGCCAGCAGCGGCGCCGCTGACACAGGCGTCTCCGCCAGCTCCGCTGTCAGTCTTCCGGCTCCTGGAAATGGACGCGGGGTCGCACTCGCAGAACGTTTCGGGTTGGACTCGCGATTGGGAAATTTCTACAGAATGAAGACTAAGGCGGGAAATTGCCGCCGGCAGCGACAAGCGTGGGCCTCCTGTTCAAGAGGCGGGGGCTGCGGCGCCCGCACTTGCGGCGGCCTTGACAGGCGTCTGCGCCCACGTCAACGACAACGGCTGCCGCGCGCCGTTCGTCGTGGCCGAGATCGTTCGCCCTGGGCCCCGCGACCCCGCGCCGCTCGCGCGCGCGCGCGCGACGACGGGCGCGTCGGCTCGCGAGAAATCCAAGGACCTTCTCATCCACTCGTTGGATTCCTCCCGCTCCCTGCGCCCGACTAGGGGCATTCCGAAGGAGGGGGAGCTTTCCGCGAGCAGGGCCATGGGCGTCGCGGCGAAGATTCACGCGCTGGTTCACGCACTTTTCAAGGGGCGCGAGCTCGCGGAACATGCGCGGCGCGGAGGGCACCTTGCGGTGGAGAAGGAGGGTCTGGACGGCGTTGCCGAGTTCCGAGCGCCAGTAGCTCTGCCGCGGCGTTTAAGCGCCTCTGGCGCTGACGGCCTCGTCGCGCAGCAGCGGGGCGACGAGTCTACAGGCCTTGGCGGGGCGGGGTCTCCACTAGCGCCCCAGGTGGCGGAGGTCCGCGATCAGCCGCATAACGAGACCCAGCAGCTCGTCGTCACCGCGCGCCCCCCCCCTGGCCCGGCCCGCTCGATCGCGAGATCGTCCAGCTATAGCAGCTGCCAGGTGGCATGGGCCGTCCGCGGGATCCCCCTGGCACGAGTATTCGGAGATAGCGACTGCGGGGAGGGCGAGAGGCTCGCGACTGCGCGCGCGGGTGGCCCGCTCGAAGCTGGCGGCGCAGCCGGCAGCGAGGTCGCGTGCAAGCCCCCGGGCGCGTCGGAGCTCGCGCGGGAAGACAAGGGAATATGTTGCCAGGTTGCAGCAGGCGCTGATGGCGCTTCGCCGAAAGACCGCGCCCCTCCACGCGCTGCCCGCCATGGGCACTGCCCCTGGCGCAGAGTTCGCCGCCGCCCAGCTCCAGCCCGCGCCGGGCCAGCTCCGCGCCGAGCACAATATGTCGCGAGGAAGAAGGGCGACGCCCGCGCGTTCGTTCTGACCGCCGACCCCTCCCCCCCGAACTCGGCGAAGCAGGGCGCCGAGGCGATCTTTCGCAGCCGCGGCTCCAGGGCGGCGGGGCCCACTGGGCCCGCGCGCGTCCAAGAGTTCATCGCGTCGAAGCGGCGCGAAGGAGGCGTCTCCCATATTCTCGACGGAGCGAGCCGCGTCGAGCGCCGCTCGCGCGCTGTTTGCAACGCTCGTTCGCCGTGGAAGGGCGGGCGGAGGGCGGTCCGGCGCGCGGGCGCCAACGCGCGCAGCGAGACGCCCGGCGTTGCCGCCATTTGCCAGGGCGCCGCCGCGCGCCGCCTCTGCGAGCCCCCTCGAATGAGGCGCGAGTT